ACAACTGTTTAATCCTATTAAAACTTTTGATTTCTTTCTATTGTTTATAAAAGTAATATATTTGTAAAAAAAAATAGTACAAATGTGATATTGTAGGTAAGTAATATAGAGTTTTTCAAAACGCATGAATAAAAGAACCATTTTTTTTTATTGAAATTCATTTCTCTTCAAAATTGTTATTATAAATATATAGATTATCTGTTATATATGCAAAATAGTTTTCTTTTTGATTTTGAAATTTGTTAATAAGTAGTTAAAACATCTTTTTATTTTAATTGAAAATCTAATTGATTAAAAATAAAAAACACTAAGTTATAAGGTAAAATTTGTGTAATAAAATAGTGATATTAGGTTAAAAAAAGCAAATCCAAATAGCTAAATAGTATGTATAAAATGTATGGCTAAATCAATATATCATGATATTTATTTTTATTACGTCTTGTCAGATAAACTTTGTTACAAAAACCATTTTTCTCTAAAATTTAAGTTACAAGTCTCCATAGTTATTTAGTAAGGGATCAGCAAATTATAATATACCAACCAAACCCCCCTACCCTCCTAAATTAAGGTAATAACCATAGAATACTTACCTTGTAAGATAGTACCTACTGTATATATCTACATTCCAAAGTAAATTACATAACTCCCTATCTACATATCTCCCCCCAATATTTACATATCTCTCTCTAGAATTCACTGCTGTAACTCTATAGTGGATCACAATGGGTGTAAATATTCTAATCTGTAATTTATCTTATGTTAGTATGTAAATATATTATATTCTGTGTGTGAATCATATAACATTATGTCATTCATTGTATTTGATCAGTGTCTAATAAATATGTCTTATATATGTTTCATTTATTTAAATACACATAAACAGAATGTCATACATATATTGATTAGCATTTTCTAAAACTATATATTTGGAGATTGTGTGGTATAACTTTGATGGAGCAAAGAACTCTAGTCCAGTAATTTGAAGGAATTATAAATCATAACGGAGCTAAGTCGGCCTGCCACTGAGTAATGCTCCCAGTCTTAATGATAAACAGATGCATTCTACTTCCCCCAGTCATGATATGGTTGTCAAGTCTCGAGCTCTACAAGCGTGATACCTTAATATGATTGAGTGGAGATAAGAAAGAAAGAAGAGATAAATCATAACATGCTCTTAATCTTTTTCTCTGCAGAAAAATTATGATTTGAGGTGAATCAGTCCTAAGACTGGTGTATCTCCTCAAACTCCTCCAAGATGATCAACCAATAGCCATAATTTTCATAAAAAGTCTTCTTCTTTCTTATCTCCACACTGGGTGAAGTAGAATGTGTCTGCCTTTGTCATCAAGACTGGGAGCACTACTCAGTGGCAGGCCGACTTAGCTCCAAAAGAAATGGCCGTCCTCTGACATGACATGAGGAACAGACACCATGTGCAGCCGCTCCTAACATGGAGTACAAACGCTGCTCATCCTGTATCCCTGGATTAGGAGCCCTTACAGGGTACTATCATTCGGGCCAGCTGAGCCCAGGTTTTTTAACAAGCTCGTTACTGCTCCCCCTCCTTTTTCATCCGGGCTTGGGACTGGCAAAGGCGGAATTTCATATAAAGTAGAACAAACCACCATGAGAACACACTCTCGCTAGAAGACACTTCTCTACAATGGATACTTTTCATCAACTAAATTACAATTTTTTATTAGTGGCAACTCTGGTAAAAGAACACCATCTAAGGACACTTTGGTTTTGGAAATAGTAGTCTTTTAGAGAGAGGTTTTGTTCTACTGATTGGTAATTTTTAAATGTGTGACGTTTCAGGTAACAGCGTTGTTATCATCATCAGACAAAAAACTAATTGAGAAAAAATATCACAGCATGTTCTTATATAATCACTGTTATCAAGTGTCTAAACAAGATAGCAGATAAGAAAAAAAAAAGTTTTCTAAGAAAACCTAAAATATTATTCTTAATATTAGAAGTGATAAGGCACAATTTGGATTATAGATTATAAACAAAAGGTAATAAGACCAAATACAAATAAATAAAAAATGTGTGACATTCGGTAACATGTTACCGAAACGTAATACACTTTTTATTTATTTGGATTTGGTCTTATTACCTTGTGTTTAAAATTAGAAGTGGAAAAAAAAACCCTTTTCTTAAAAAAATATAATTAAAAGTAATACAGTAAAACCCCGTTATAACGAACCCTGGATATAACGAACCTTCCCTTATAACGAACCCACGCCGATTCCCAATTCCATTCCATTGAAAATACCATCGTTATAACGAACTTTGCGATTTTTAGAATAACGAACTACCCCTATAACGAACCTATTTCGGGTCCCAAAATGATAAAATCTATTAAAAATACTATGCTTATAACGAACTTAGAATTGTAATTTAAAAAAAATAATAAAAAAAAAATTTTGAGCATGTTTAAAGCTCGCGGATCGCGATTTCAAAACAATAAATTTAGCGGCATTGTTTGATTTTTGCACTTTATTTTTGCTGTATGTTGTATAAATTTTTACACATTATACTTTTTATTAATTAGAATATCTTTGCATCCATTAAATTTGAAATATAAAAAATGCAAATGGCTTCCCTAATGAAGAAAACAAAAGCATTATTTCATAAAAAAAAAAGGGCCATTTTCAGAACTTTTCAAAGTTAAACAACATAGGCAAAATGTTAAGAACATATTAAAATAAGAAAATATAACTTTTCTATTATAAAAGATAAAATATAAAGTTATTAAAAATTGTTACAAAGAGGAATCAACTTCAACTTTTGCCGCGATCGCGATCGTACGTTTTAGGGCTAAAAAAAAAAAGTCCAAATAAACGGTCCCGTGATTAAACAAAAATTATTTTTATGCCATTAACTATGGTGATTTTAAAGTCAGCAATGTTTTGCATGGCAGGTTAAAAAAAAAAAAACGAAATCTAGACCTAGAAGAATATGGGGAAACATGAAATGGAAGAAAAACACTAACTTTATTTGAATGGTGCAATGCTTGGAAGAATGCTTTGAAACAACAAGGTATTAGAGCCATTTTTTCAAGTAAAAATTGTATTATATAAAATGTGATAATGATGTTTTAAAATCATTTCATATCTTTGAATATATATTTAATAAAACTTTGCCTAGGATATGTCTTGATTTTTAACTTAGACATAGAGGTACATGTATGTTAATCATAAGAAGAACCTATTATCTAATGATTTCTATTATTATTCAGTATTAATGTAAGGAAATTAGTCAATTAAGGGAATTAAAATAAAGTGACCACTATTAAGAGGCAGCCTCTACTTGTGTGTATGGCTGTTTTTTTAATTATACGGTCAAAAATTTTTGAAAAGTAAAAAAAAATAGCCAAACCGTGGCTATAGTGAACCGTGGCTATAGTGAACCAAAAGCTCTGTCCCATTGGGGTTCACTATAGAGGGGTTTTACTGTATGTAAATTATTTTTCCATTCGATTAATTGTAGCATTGAATAAAAAAGGCTTCTTTAAATTGTCTCTTATAGTAATCTTTCTCATAATCTAGTACAGTAGAACCTCCATGAGAGGACACTTACTCTAAAGTACACCTCTCTATAAAGGACAGTTTTCATTTACAAAATTATCATTTTTACTATTTAGCAACTCTCTGGTAAGAGGACACCTTTCCTTAAAGGACATTTTGGCTTTGCAATTAGGTGTCCTTCACAGGATGGTTCTACTGTATTTTTTAATTTTTTTAAATTGAAATTATTATTTCCTGTGATTTTCTATGTTCTACATGTGAATAATTCCCAATTTTATCCCATTTTAAAGCATATTTATGGTATTCCATTCTTTCTCTTCAAGTTCTGGCTGTTTTTCCTATGTAACATTGATCACACATTTCCCATTTCATTTCACAGGGGGTCAATGGAAGGATGGTCTAAACCGTTGGTTTTCAACTGCTACTACCCGGGTTCGATTCCCGCATTGGAGCATTTAAAAAAAAAATGCTCCAATGGCCCCTGATTCTTGCAAAAGTCCAACCCTACCAGTAAGTACAAGTAAACGGGGTTCTGGCACATTTTTAAGTACAAAGTTGAACTGCTTTTCACATGTGTAGACATGTGGTGTAATTACAGTAAAAGCAGTCACCTACTTCTACCCACACTTCATAAATCAAACCTGCTATTTTTTTTCCACTTCTAATTTTAAGAATAATATTTTAGGTTTTCTTAAAAATTTATTTTCTTTTCTGCTATCTTGTTTACACACTTGATAAAAGCATTATTTAAGAACATGCTGTGATCACAAGGTAATAAGACCAAATCCAAATAAATAAATAGTGTATGATGTTTCGGTAACAGTGTTGTTACCATCTTCAGACAAAAGTAATGAATGACCAAATCCAAATAAATAAATAGTGTGTGACGTTTTGGTAACAGTGTTGTTACCATCTTCAGACAAAGTAATGAATGACCAAATCCAAATAAATAAATAGTGTGTAACGTTTCGGTAACAGTGTTGTTACCATCTTCAGACAAAAGTAATGAATGACCAAATCCAAATAAATAAATAGGGTGTGACGTTTCGGTAACAGCGTTGTTATCATCTTCAGAGAAAAGTACTGAATGACCAAATCCAAATAAATAAATAGGGTGTGACGTTTCGGTAACAGCGTTGTTATCATCTTCAGACAAAAGTACTGAATGACCAAATCCAAATAAATAAATAGTGTGTGACGTTTCGGCAACAGCGTTGTTACCATCTTCAGACAAAAGTAATGAATGACCAAATCCAAATAAATAAATAGCGTGTGACATTTCGGTAACAGCGTTGTTACCATCTTCAGACAAAAGTACTGAATGACCAAATCCAAATAAATAAATAGGGTGTGACGTTTCGGTAACAGCGTTGTTATCATCTTCAGACAAAAGTACTGAATGACCAAATCCAAATAAATAAATAGGGTGTGACGTTTCGGTAACAGCGTTGTTACATTTACATTTATTCTTTTCCTAGTGGACATGGCACCTGCCCGGTAAGCAGAAGGTTGTGGGTTCGATTCCCGCCCCTGGACACTTTTATTTTTCCCGTTCGCAATTACTCTTCATATTTTCACCCTTTCATACTTCATTCAAAAAAGTTAGAAATAGTAAATATTTCTCTTTAAAATAAATATTGATTTTTCATAGAAAAGAAACTTATGCGGTATAACTTTATGTATTGTTTATAATCACACGCCGCAGTCCTTTATAATTTATTCTTTTGTTTGAAGATAGTAACAACACTGTTATTGAAACCTCCGACACTATTTATATATTTAGATTTGGTCTTATTACCTTGTAGTTCATCACCTTAGTGAAAAAATTCACTAGTGAGGATAAAGAAAAGCCACAACACCAGTTTTGGATAATTCAGATAAAAAGCCAACAACCTGTATACCATGGTTTCAGGCTATGGCCTTCATCAGTACAGGGACGACTTTGATTTCAATACATTCTAGGTTTAAAGAGAGTGGTACCTGAAGTACATATCTCTTCTACTTCTTTCTTATCTCCACTCAATCATATTAGGGTATCAAGCTTGTAAAGCTTGAGATTTTACAACCATCATGACTGGGTGAAGTAGAATGTGTCTGCCTTTGTCATTAAGACTGGGGACACTACTCAGTGGCAGGTCGACTTAGCTCTAAAAGAAATGGCCACCTCTAACATGAGGAACAGATGCCATGTGCAGCCGCTCCTAACATGGAGTACAAACGCTGCTCATCCTGTATCCCTGGATTAGGAGCCCTTACAGGGTACTATCAGCCGAGCCAGCTGAGCCCAGGTTTTTTAGTGAGCTTGTTACTGCTCCCCCTCCTCCTTTTTCATCCGGCTTGGGACCGGCAAAGGTGGAGTTCTAAGTACATATTAATATGCAAATAGAGAAGCCAGAGCAGAAGAATTTGGTAATCCTATGGGAGGGATTATGATAAGGGCTATAGCTTGAACCCATGGTATACAGATTGGGGTTTTTTTTTTTTTGTCTGAATTTCAAAAAACTGGTGTTATGGCTCATTCTTTATTAACAGAAATAAAATTTATGAAAAAGGCATCTCCTTATTGTGCAACTGAAAGTTGCTGATGGCTTGCGCCATCTATCGAAATAAATATCAACTATTCTCGTTGATTTTTAATTATTCCAGAATTGGCCAAATACCCATTCTTGATTAATCAAGAAAAGCTAACCACTGTCGCATTTCGGGCTGTTGGCCCTCATCAGTGTGGTGCAAGCTGTACCTCAATGACCATAAAAACTGGTCATTCAGGCATCCTGAAAAATCATGAAACAGGTAGTTAAGGTAAGAATTGCGTGAGACCGCAACACAATGTGAAAAAATGGTCCCCGTTTCATGATTTTTCAGGATGCCTGAATGACCTGTTTTTTGGTTGTTGAGGTACAGCTTGCACCACGCTGATGAGGACCAACAGCCCGAAACGCGTCAGTGGTTAGCTTTTCTTGATTAATCAAGAATGGGTATTTGGCCAATTCTGGAATAATTAAAAATCAACGAGAATAGTTGATATTTATTCCGATAGATGACGCAGGCCATCAGCAACTTTCAGTTACACGATATTGAGATTCCTTTTTCTTAATTTATGCACCTTATCCCAGTACAATATCACATTTGCAGTATTTTTTCACAAATAAAATTGTTTTACTAGATTTATAAACATAATGCATTGATCTGATGCATAAATAAGTGAAGAGGTGTACCTAGTACACAATAATGTTTATATAGAAGTATTGGCTTCAAAATATGACTGGATAAATATATTGTGGTTAATGAAGTAAATTGAAAGTAGATACCAATTTATAAACATTTATAAAACTATGATATTTTATAACATATGGATATCAAATAAGGAAAAAAGTCTTACAACCTGTATAATAATGACCAGAATGGCCTTTCAACAATGGAGAACCCAAGAATAAGAAACAAAAATTATAATAGAGATAACAACCATGAGCCAATACTTGATTCCTACCTGGACAAACCAAAAACTTATACAACAACACAACTACAGTAAAACCCCACTAATACGAACCCTGGATATAGCGAACCTTCCCTTATAACGAACCTAAGGCAATTCCAATTCTATTCCATTGAAAATACCATCGTTATAACGAACTACCCTTATTACGAACCTATTTTAGGTCCCAAAATAATAAAATCTATTCAAAATACAGTAAAATCCCACTAATATGAACCCTGGATATAACAAACCTTCCCTTATAATGAACTTAAGGCAATTCCCAATTTCATTCCATTGAAAATACCATCGTTATAACGAACTACCCCTATTACGAACCTATTTTAGGTCCCAAAATAATAAAATCTAATTAAAATACTATGCTTATAACGAACTTAAAATTGTAATTAAAACAACAAAATTTTGAGCATGTTTCAGCTCACGGATCGAGATTTCAAACCAATAAATTTAGTGGCATTATTTGTTTTGATTTACATTCTATTTTTTCTGTATGTTGTATAAATTTTTACACATTATATTTTATTAAATAGAATATCTTTGCAACAAACCAATTTGAAATAGAAAAAATGCAAATGGCTTCCAAAATAAAGTAAAACAAAGGCATTCTAAAACAAAAACGTTATTACTTAAAAAAAAAAAAAAAAAAGGTCATTTTCAAAACTTTTCAAAGTGAAACAACACAGGCAAAATTTAAGAAGATGCTAAAATAATAAAATATAACTTTTCTATTATAAGAGCTAAAATATAAGTCTATTAAAAATTGTTACAAACAGGAATCAACCTCAACTTTTGCCGCGATCGTACATGTTAGGGCTTTAAAAAAAAACGTCCAAATAAATGGGCCTGTGATGCAACAAAATTTATTTTTTATGCCATGAACTATGGTGATTTTAAAGCCAGCAATGGTTTGCATGACAGGTTAAAAACAAACAAAATTTATACTTAAGAAGAATATGTGAAAACATGAAATAGAAGAAAAACACATCAACTTTATTTGAAAGGTGCAATGCTTGAAGAGAGCTTCGAAGCAACAAGGTATTAGAGCCATTTTCCAAGTAAACATTGGATTATATAATGTGATAAATATGTTTTAAAATTATTTTATATCTTTGAATATATAATTAATAAAACTTTTCCTAGGATTTGTCTTGATTTTGAAATTAGACATAGAGGTAAATGTATGTTAATGATAAGAAGAACCTATCATCTAATAATTTATTTTATTATTCAGTATTAATATAAGGAAATAGGTCAATAAAGGGAATTAAAACAAAGTGACCACTATTAAGAGGCAGCCTCTTCCAGTGTGTATGGCTGTCCTTTAATTATACGGCCTAAAAATTTTGAAAAGTAAAAAAAAAATAGCCAAACCGTGGCTATAGTGAACCAAAAGCTCTGTCCCATTGGGGTTCACTATAGAGGGGTTTTACTGTATTTATATCCTATATATATGTGTCTTTATAAATCACATAAGTTACTGTTTTCAGTTTTTAAGATATAAATAAATGAATATACCTGACTTAGGTATTCAGTAATAACTCTCTTAGATGTTTTCCTACCTTAGGAATTGATTTTAACTGGGAACAGTTTGTTTTTCCTTTAATTTAGGTTTCCTGAGCACACAACAAACTATATCATTAATATATATTTAATTCCCTAAAGACTAAATGTAATGAATATCCAATATACATATAGAGAGCATTTCAGTAGATTTACATAATAAACTGAACTCTGCTTTTGCCGGTCCCAAGCCTGGATGTAAAAGGAGGAGGAGAGCAGTAACAAGCTTGATTAAAAAACCTGGGTTCAGTTGGCCCGACTGATAGCACCCTGTAAAGGCTCCTAATCCTTGGGTTACAGGATAACCAGCAGTGTCTGTCTCCATGTTAGGAGCAGCTGCACAAGGCCTCATGTTAGAGGCGGCCATTTAATACCAGGTCAAAGTCCAAGTTACACTTCTCTGTAGGTGACCTCGGGGAAATGCTGGATAAAACCAACGCTTTAACGTAACTGGCATATAACTTATATTTTGATGAGTTCTTAAACTTCTTTATGAGCACGACCTCCAAGATCTTGTCTAATTTAGACTAATAAAAGGATAAGGCACAATTTGGATTATAGATTGTAAACACAAGGTAATAAGACCAAATCTCTAATGATAAGGTACAATTTGGATTATAGATTGTAAACACAAGGTAATAAGACCAAATCTCTAATGATAAGGCACAATTTGGATTATAGATTGTAAACACAAGGTAATAAGACCAAATCTCTAATGATAAGGCACAATTTGGATTATAGATTGTAAACACAAGGTAATAAGACCAAATCTCTAATGATAAGGCACAATTTGGATTATAGATTATAAACACAAGGTAATAAGACCAAATCTAATGATAAGGCACAATTTGGATTATAGATTATAAACACAAGGTAATAAGACCAAATCCAAATAAATAAATAGTGTGTGACATTTCGGTAACAGCATTGTTACCATCTTGATTCAGTAATTTTGTCTGAAGATGGTAACAACGCTGTTACCGAAACGTCACACATTATTTATTTACTTGGTCTTATTACTTTGTGATTATAGATTAAAAAAAAATAAAAAACACAAAGTAATAGTGTGTAACATTTTGGTAACAGTATTGTTACCATCTTGATTCAGTAATTTTGTCTGATGATGGTAGCAACCCTGTTACCGAAACGTCACACATTATTTATTTACTTGGTCTTATTACTTTGTGATTATATATTTTAAAAAAATTAAAAACACAAAGTAATAGTGTGTGACATTTCGATAACAGCATTGTTACCATCTTGATTCAGTAATTTTGTCTGATGATGGTAACAACCCTGTTACCAAAACATCACACATTATTGTTACGTAGAAATAAAAGCACATTTCAGAATGGGGGGAGAGAGAATATTCTCGAACATTTATGAATAATGTAGTTTACATCATTCTTGGTACCAAGTAGAAAACCCCAAAAAAACAGACCTTCCAACTAAACAGAAGGAAGTCGACACAGTTGGCCAGAT